GGTGAGTTTTGTTTTTCCAGTCTGTGGATTCACTGATCCCTGTGGTGTCTCTGCACAGGAGTGTTTCTGATCCTGTGTCCTTTCCTTTAGGATACTTCCCTTTGGATCTGCACTGTGCAGTTATTCCAGTGCTTTCGGATAATTATTGCAGATTGGTGCTTGACACACACTACCACGAGAGTATATTCTGTACTGTTGGTGAAGGCAGCAAGGATGCTTGTCAAGTAAGAGGCTGGGAGGGTTGGCAGGGGTTTAGCATGGAGCAGGGGTTTAAAACCCACAAAGGGCACAAGGTCATGCAGGAATCAGAGAGACTCAGAGGGCCATGGGGAGACACAGGTGCAAGGAGAAAGAGAGAGAAGGAACTGGAAGGGTGAGGAGGAAACAAGTAGACACAGGGTAAAGTAGCCAGGGAGACAGGCAAGAAGAGCCAGGGAGAAGTAAGCAACCTGCAGAGAGACGCAGAGTCATGATGTTGAGAGGAGGGATGCAGAGATGCCTGGGAGGGACACTAGGAGGGTCCGGGGAGAAGGAACACAGCTGTAAGAACAGACTGGATGACTGCATTCAGGATCCCGAGCCCCACTGCCAAGCACAATTCCATCCTCAACTCCAATGACTCCCGAATCCCCGCGTGCCGAACCAGTCTCACCCTCCAATTCAAACTCAGCCATGGCTGGAAAAGGAGATGCAGGCGTGGGTGGAGTTCCTCACAGGAAATTGCTAATGCCTAGGAGGGAAAGTTAGTGTTTGAGAGGCAGGACTGTCCCTTCCTGCCTTCAAGCAATTTTGAGTGCTTGGCTTTTTCATGGCAGATCCCTCCATACTGGCCCTTGTGCCTCTGTGTTTTCACTGTCTTGGGATCTCACCAGGGTTGCAATTTGTCTCCCCATCACCTCTTCCTCCTGTATCCCATGAGTCTCTGGGGCCTGCTGGCTCTGTCTCCCCTGCTTGTGTCTCCACCTCTCACTCCTGCAGTGCATATTTCTGCCCTGCTCTCTTTTGCTGCCTTTGCCTCTTTGTGCTTCTGGTTTCCCATGTGTGTCTCCCCCCATCCTCCCCTCTACCCACCCTAACTTGCTCTTCTCTTCCCTCAACAGTTTGACTCTGGAGGCCCTTTGATCTGCAATGGGCTCCTGCAGGGCCTTGTGTCCTGGGGAAGCGATCCATGTGGCATACCTGGATTTCCAGGCTTCTACACCAACCTATGCAAATTTAAAGAATGGATACGTGAAGTCATCCGGACCAGATAACCACAGATGATGTTGGGACCGAGTAGCCAACACCACCTTCCAAATCTGTCTTTACTCTCCACCTGTCATAAACA